TCTGTTCTTGTGCCAGTACCAAATTGTCTTGATTACTGTGCCTTTGTAGTAGAGCTTGAGGTTGGGGAGCGTAATGCCCCCCAGCGTTACTCTTTCTTCTCAGGGTTGCTTTGGCTATTCAGGGTCTTTTGTGGTTCCATATGAATTTTAGAATTATTTTCTCTAGTTTGTTGAAGAATGCTGTTGGTATTTTAATAGGGATTGCATTGAATCTCTTTATTGTTTTAGGCAGGATGGCCAATTTGACCATATTAATTCTTCCTATCATGAGCATGGGATGTGTTTCCATTTATTGGTATCTTCTTTAATTTCTCTCATGAGTGCCTTGTAGTTTTCAGTGTATAGCTCTTTCACTTCCTTTGTTGGGTTTATTCTTAGGTATTTTATTCTTTTTGATTCAATTGTGAATGGAATTGTTTTCCTGATTTCTCTTTCTGTTAGTTCATCATTTGTATATAGGGGTGCAACAGATTTCTGTGTATTAATTTTGTATCCTGCAACTTTGCTGAATTCAGATATTAGATCTAGTAGTTTTGGAGTGGATTCTTTAGGGTTTTTTATGTACAATATCATGTCGTCTGCAAACAGTGACAGTTTAACTTCTTCTTTACCAATCTGAATGCCTTTTCTTTCTTTGTGTTGTCTGATTGCTGTGGTGAGGACCTCCAGAACTATGTTGAATAAAAGTGGAGAGAGTGAGTATCCTTGTCTTGTTCTTGATCTCAAAGGAAAGGCTTTCCTTCTCACTGTTAAGTATGATGTTTGCTGTGGGTTTGTCATATATGGCCTTTATTATGTTGAGATACTTGCCTTCTATACCCATTTTGTTGAGCGTTTTTATCATGAATGGATGTTGAATTTTGTCAAATGCTTTTTCAGCATCTATGGAGATGATCATGTGGTTTTTGTCCTTTTTTTTTGATGTGGTGGATGATGTTGATGGATTTTCAAATATTGTACCATCCTTGTATCCCTGGAATAAATCCTATTTGATCATGATGGATGACCTTTTTGATGTATTTTTTAATTCGGTTGCTAATATTTTGTTGAGTATTTTTGCATCTATGTTCATCAGGGATATTGGTCTGTAATTTCCTTTTTTTGTGTTGTCTTTGCCTGGTTTTGGTATTAGGGCGATGCTCACTTCATAGAATGAGTTTGGAAGTATTCCTTCCTCTTTTACTTTTTGGAAAACTTTAAGGAGTATGGGTATTAGGTCTTCACTAAATGTTTGATAAATTTCATCAGTGAAGCCTCTGATCCAGGCGTTTTTTATTTAAGGTAGTTTTTTGATTACCAATTCAATTTTGTTGCTAGTTATTGGTCTGTTCAGATTTTCTGTTTATGAGTCAGCCTTGGAAGGTTGTATTTTTCTAGAAAGTTGTCCATTTCTTCTAGGTTATCCAGTTTGTTAGCATATAATATTCATAGTATTCTCTAAGAATTCTTTATATTTCTGTGGTGTCCCTAGTGACTTTTCCATTCTCATTTTTTATTCTGTTTATGCATGTAGACTCTTTTTTTTCTTGATATGTCTGGCTAAGGGTTTATCTATTTTGTTTATTTTCTCAAAGAACCAGCTCCTGCTTTCATTGATTCTTTCTTTTTTTCTTTCATTTTATTCTTCTCAATTTTATTTATTTCTGCTTTAATCTTTATTATGTCCCTCCTTCTACTGACTTTGGGCCTCATTTGTTCTTCTTTTTCTAGTTTCATTAATTATGAGTATAGACTGCTCATATGGGATGGTTCTTCTTTCCTGAGGTAGGCCTGTATTGCAATGTACTTCCCTCTTAGCAACACCTTCGCTGCATATCACAGATTTTGCAGTGTTGAATTATTGTTGTCATTTGTCTCTATATATTTCTTGATCTGTTTTTATTTGGTCATTGATCCATTGGTTATTTAGGAGCATGTTGTGAAGCCTCCATGTGTTTGTGGGATTTTTCATTTTCTTTGCATAATTTATTTCTAGTTTCATACCCTTGTGGTCTGAGAAGCTGGTTGGTGCTATTTCCATCTTTTTGAGTTTACTGAGGCTCTTTTTGTGGCCTAGTATATGATCTATTCTTGAAAATGTTCCATGTACACTTAAGAAGATTGTGTATCCTGCTGCTTTTGGGTGGAGAGTTTGTAGATTTCTGTTAGGTCCATCTGTTCTAATGTGTTGTTCATGCCTCTGTCTCCTTACTTATTTTCTGTCTGGTTGATCTGTCCTACAGAGTGAGTGGAGTGTTGAAGTCTCCTAGAATGAATGAATTGCATTCTATTTCCCTTTTTAATTCAGTTCATATTTGTTTCATATATGCAGATGCTCCTGTGTTGGGTGCATAAATATTTATAATGGTTATATCCTCTTGTTGGATTGACCCCTTTTTCTTTATGTAATGTCCTTCTTTGTCTCTTGTGACTTTCTTTTTTTTTAAGTCTATTTTTTCTGATACTAGTACTGCAACACCTGCTTTTTTCTCCCTATTAGTTGCATGAAATATATTTTTCCTTTCCTTTACTTTTAGTCTGGGTATATCTTTGGGTTTGAAGTGAGTCTCTTGTAGGTACCATATAGATGGGTCTTGTTTTTTTATCCATTCAGTGACTCTGTGTCTTTCGTTTGGTGCATTCATACCATTTACATTTAGGATGATTATCGACAGGTATGTACTTATTGCCATTGCAGGCTTTAGATTTGTGGTTACCAAACATTCACGGGTAACTTCCTTACTATCTAAGAGTCTGACTTAACTCACCTAATATGCTATTACAAACACAATCTAAAGGTTCTTTTTTTCCCCTCTTTTTCTTCCTCCTCCATTCTTTATATATTAGGTATCATATTCTGTACTCTTTGTCTATCCCTTTTCATTACCTCTGGTGACAGCTATTTAGTCTTCGGAACACTTCCATCTATAGTAGTCCCTCCAAAATATACTGTAGAGATTGTTTGCTGGAGCTAAATTATCTCAGCTTTTGTTTATCGGGAAAATGTCTAATCCCACCTTCAAATTTAAATGATAATCTTGCCGGATAAAGTATTCTTGGTTCAAGGCCCTTCCTCTTCGTTGCATTAAATATATCATGCCACTCCGTTCTGGCCTGTAAGATTTCTGCTGAGAAGTCTGATGATAGCCTGATGGGTTTTCCTTTGTATGTGATCTTATTTCTCTCTCTGGCTACTTGTAATAGTCTGTCCTTATCCTTGATCTCTGCCATTTTAATTATGTCTTGGTGTTGTCCTCCTTGGGTCCCTGGTGTTGGGAGATCTGTGCACCTCCATGGGCTGAGATACTATCTCCTTCCCCAGACTGGGGAAGTTTTCAGCAATTACTTCCTCAAAGATACTTTCTATCCCTTTTTCTCTCTCTTCTTCTTCTGGTACCCCTATAATATGAATATTGTTCCATTTGGATTGGTCACACATTTCTCTAAGTATTCTTTCATTCCTAGAGATCCTTTTTTCTCTCTGTTCCTCTGCTACTTTGTACTCCTCTTCCCTAATTTCTACTTCATTTATCATCTCCTCCACCATATCTAATCTGCTGTTAATACCCTCCATTGTGCTCTTCAATGATTGGCTCTCTGTCCTAAATTCATTCCTGAGTTCTTGAATATTTTTCTGTACCTCCAAGAGCATGTTTATCATTTTCATTTTGAAATCTCTTTCAGAAAGATTTATTAATTCAGTCTCACTCGGTCCTTTCTCTGGTGTTGGGATTTTGCTTTGGACCCAGTTCTTTTGATGTTTCATATTTGTATATTGCGCCCTCTAGTACCCAGAAGCTCTACACTCTGGAGCTGCTCAGCCCCTGGAGTGATGTTGGAGGTCACAGGGGAGTGGTTCTCGTGCCTGGGGGATGGAAAGAGCTGTTTCCTGTTTCCTGGCTGTTATGCCTGTCTCCACTGCCAGAACCAGTGGGCTGAACACAGAGGTGTAAGCCTCAATGCTGTGTGTTTGTAGCTGCCATAGGTGGGGTTTCCCTCTGGCTGGCCTGATGCCAGGGCAGGGGCTGCAGGTTTGTGAGACAGGTGCAGGCTAGCCAGGAGGAAGACACAGCAGGCTGCATATCATGTTGGGGGCCTTGGAGCTGTGTAGCCAGCCAGGGGGATGGAGTGCCTTAAGATCAGCTGGGCAGAGTGCACCCAGACAATTTTGTCTAATTGTTCTTTCTCCTAAGCAGAAAGCTCTGTGCAATCCTTGCCCCCTTAACAGCCCTCTCGCTGTTAGGAAGTCTCTTAGACTGCCTGCCCAGCTCAGCCAGATATGAATTCCTGGTTTCCACAAGCAGCTGGAGTCTCCATCTCTCCAGGTATTCTGCCTGTCTTAGTTTTCCAACCCCACTACTCACCAGAGCACCATGCAATGTAGGTTCATGCTCCCAGAGCAGATCTCCAGGGCTAGGTGTTCAGCAGTCCCAGGCTTCCATTCCCTCCCCGCTCTGTTTCTCTTCCTCCTGCCAGGGAGCTGGGGTGGGGGAAGGGCTTGAGTCCCACCGGGTCACAGCTTTGGTACATTACCCTGTTCCATGAGGTCTGCTCTTTTCTCCAGGTGTATGCAGTCTGGTGCAGCCTCCTTTCCTGTTGTTCTTTCAGGATTGGTTGTATTAATTATATTTTCATATTATATGTGGTTTTAGGAGGAGGTCTCTTTCTCACCTCTAACGCCATCTTTAATCCAATTCCCAGGTTAGTACTCTTATATATTTACTGTTCTTAAATGTTTAAATTTGGGAATTTGAAAAATAGCTATGCTTTTAAAATATTAGGTATTGAAGTCATTAGGTAAGTTAGATTTGGAAATTCATTATAAAAGATCCCATTTAAATAGTTCTGTGAAATTTAAAAAACATGATTCTGGAAAATGATTAAAAAAATGTGCATTATGTTTATGCTTACATATGCTCATGTAAGCACTACAGAACAAAAATATGCAACTAGTAAGAGAATTGTACATGTTATCTATATTTTCTTTGCAAATATCTAATTTATATGTTTAGAAGATAAACCTGAGAAGGTGAAACTTCAAGCCAGGATTTATCCAACCATTCATGAGGATCTTTCTTTGAGGTCATCAAACTGTGGTCAGCAATTTGTCGAATTATCAATGCAGTCTCTTCCACTCCTGGGACAATTATAAGCTAAAAAATATATTTTATATGTTTAGATTATAGGAAATATTAGGAAACAAAATGTATCATCTAAATATTGTTCATAATTAGAAGAAAAATACCCCCAGCAAATTCTAATCTTTGAACACTATTTTAGATATAATTTATTTATTTATGTGAAATCCAGGATGTTTTGTGAGAATAAGCAATTTTCTTTCTTTCTTTAAATATCATATCCTTGTAGTTTCCAATTTTTGAAAATAAATAATTTTTATTCACTTCAATTTATTATTTATTAATAAAGTATTTTTAATAATTTGGTATGAATTAGAAGAAAAGGCAATTTGGATATTTAATATTTTGCTTTTTCTAGGTTAAACCTCGTAGTACTCAAATAAAAATAAGACTAAAATATATAGTGCCAGATGTTTCCTAACTCTGAAGAGAATTTCTTACTATCCCCTACTCCCCATTTGTCACTTGTGTTTTCCTCCATGCCCTTCTCTGTCTTGAAATGCCAGCCTTTCCCTTCCGCTTTCATTTCTGTCTTTATCTTTTTCATCTTTTAGATTCAGTGGAAGGAAAGACAATTCATGGGTTAGCAGTTTAATGTGGACAGAATACTGCCCTAATAATCATATCTTGGAAATATAAGTATCTTGTCCTGAACTGGAAATTTAACAAAAAAAGACTGTACAAACCTGGCAAAATAATTATGACAATTTTTTCTTTCACAAGACTAACAAATACAAATCTGTTAATACCTAACTGGGGAGTATATATATTCTAAAGAAGGATTTCCTTAAAATTACATTAAAGGTGTATACAGTACACAGAAACATACTGTTTGATTCCAAATTTGTCTTATTGCAAAGTTGTGGATGGTTATTTATTTAAATATAAATTTTATTTGTAAAGGCATAATTTTATGATGGTGGTAATGAATGGTACCTTAATTTATTAGGGCAAGGATTCTGGAGTTCATGGCTATACTTTGGGAAATTCAGGAACCTTGTAACATTGTTTTCAAAAGTTTGCATTTGTGTGTATTTATGATTTATTTTTTCCAAAAAGAGGTCATAAGTAATTTATAGACATTTTTTGATATTCAAATAAAATATAGCATAACACTACTAGCAGTATTTTCTTTTAGTTAAGAAAATGTACTTAAACTTCCCAATACTTCCTTTATGGCTAGGCTTTTCAGATGCCTGATAATAAAAAAATAATCCATACTGATGCACTCTAAAAGGCCAAAGCCATATTCCTAAAAAAAAGGAAGGCAAAGCAACAATATTTTCTAAAAATAATATGATCTAGGGAACCTACTTTAATGTAATAATACTATTAAGTCAGGGAAATGGGAGGCTTGAGTATTGTTGACATACTGATAGCAGAGTAGGAGCAAATTGATCATACTTGTTTCTCAAATTCTGTGGAAAAAACTGATCTACTTTTAAAATTATGTGAAACTTGAAAACCTTTTGAAATAGTTTGATCCAGATGAGAGCAGACTTTTGATGGGAATGGATTGTGCCTGGCAGTGCCTCCTATCTCATCATCAAATGTCTTCCTTGGAACATGTCTTCTATAGGCCATGTCTCAGTATCTGAATGTATCACTCCTGGTTATTGTACACCTCATATACAGAGGCATAAAATATTCTTTAAAGCATATTTTGCATGTAACCGCTTACCATTAGCTGAGAAGAAAAGAGACTGCTTATGTGGTGAAACTTTACTTGAATTTACATTTGCCATTCACTTACTTAGATAACTTTTTGAGAATTTTATTTCTATGTTAATATGAAGGATCAAAATTATGGGGATACTATTTCAAATAGTTGTTGATTTTAACAGGTTGTGTTTTGATTTAATTCTTCTTAAGGGAAGTTTGTTGAATGTGTTTTTTGTGTACAAAAGCACTGTGCTATAGATGCTATGGGTTTTACAGAGAAAAAGGGCCTAGTTCTTACCCTCCAAGGTGGAAGATACATGAACAAATACCTCATACAATAATAAAGGTATAAGTGTTACTGGGAGGATGGAAGACAGAGATTTATCCTGACAGGGATAATTGGGGCACATTTCTTACAGTGTTTGAGTAGGGCAGGAAAAGACAGAACTATAAAGGCTGGCAGGAAGGGGATGGAGAATAGTATTTCTGGGAGAAGACAGATCAGAATAAGTCTGTGCAATGGCTGAGAGGTGATGTCGTGGAGCATATTCAGGAAATGGCAAGTAAAATTACATTAAAGGAAGGATTACTAGGGACCAAATCATGAAGGAGTTTGAAGCCAGCTGAATTTGAACTCTATTTTGAATGAAGTAGGAAGCTATGGAAGGTTTTTTAAGCAAGAAAATTCAACTGAACACCTCAAATTAATCAACAGTCTATTATGTACTTGGTACTGTCCTGGGAGCCAGGAATAAACAAGAGAATAAATATGTTCCCTTTCCTTCAGAAGCTTACAGTTTAGGGAGTGAAATATTCACAGCTGTATTTCAGAAGTGTAATTGGCGTCAACATATATGATGCACTGGAGTGGGAAAAGAGTAGAAATATGGAGATTAACCAGAAAGCTACTTTAAAACTGAAGTGAGGAATGAAGGCCTGAATTTGGGGAAATAGAGAAAGGAGAGGCATATTTTAGAGACAGTGCAGAGTTAAAATGAGGATTGAGCTACTGATTAGGTTAGAATGGTTGTAAGGCTGTGAGTAGAATAGGTTAGAAAAATTGTGTTTTGGACATGCAAAGTTTGAGGTACCAGTGGGATGATTTCCTGTAGAATGCTAGACTATAGTTGCAGACCTTAAGAAAACTCAGGAAAACTTTGAAGATTATACTCAGAAATGAAAGCTAAATCTATGGAATGTCTGAGTTTATCAAGGTCAGAATATAAAGTGATAACAGAAAAGGACTGAGCCTTGAATTTGGGTGAATGTCTCAGTTTGAGTTGGACTCTGAAAAAAAGAGCCAAGAAAGGAGACTGGTCAGAGATTACCAAGGTATTACTGTGTTCATATGTCATAGGATTTCCATTTTACAGATGACAAAAACAGTATATGTTTTATAAGTAACATTTTTGATCAAGGGATATTTATTTTTATTCATATCCTACCATGTTTCAGTAAGTAGCAGTGACTGTAATGGGGTATGTGGTGGGTTCTTGATAATGGGGGAAGTCTAGTAACCACAATGTTGCACATGTAATTGTATATTAATGATACCAAAAAAAATGTAAGTAGCAGTTAAGAGATAAAATATGAATTAAAATTCATTAAAGATGTTTTGAACAGAAATTTAAATGGAACTGTTCTTTATATGGCTTTTAAGCATGTGTTCTTTAGTTTACCCACTTAATGTTTCTTCTCACCAGACACTTCAATTTGAGTATAATTTTGGTTTCTGAAAAATACTTATGAGCAAACATATAGGAAAAGAATACCTTGACATCCAGTTCTTCTGATTTTAGCCCAAATGAAACCAAAGCTGCATAAATCAGTGCCAAGTGATGAAGTGTCCTTTCTGTAAGGTGGTATCTAAAAAAGAATTATATTACTATACTTCTACTCATCTGATATCTGATTGTACTTATTAAAAATTCATTTTGTTGTCCAGATTTCGTAATGTTATTAGAATAACCTGGCTAAGGCAATGTTAGTGTGGCAGACTGGGGTTTTTTTGTCCACTTAGCATTCTTTTGAAAGAATGCTCCCACCTCCATTCTTTACAAATACTGTTAAATCTAGGGGACACTGAGTGTTTCTGTGTGGTGGGGAATGAGAGAAGTTTAACTCATCCCCTTACTGGCCCCAGAGGTGGCTATATGATTGACACCCACCCAACTTGATAGACAGAATACTCCATCCCCCTGGCTAAAGTAACAGGTGTAGGTATGACACATGACCAGAGCCAGGACAACTAGAATCCTCCCTGTTTATTTTTCCCTGAACTGCTAGAAAAAACAATCTTTTAAATTATCCTTATGTGCGTGATGGAGATGTTAGCTAAACTACAATGATAATCATATTACAATATATAAATGTATCAAATCCATGCTTTGTATACCTTAAAATTACACAATCTTATATGTCAACTTTATTGTATAAAAAAACCACTCTTTTTTCCCCTTCTATGGTTATTAGCTAGTCAGATGTGAGTCTTGAGGTGTTTGATAGGTATTTCTACTAACTTTATCCACTCCAAGAACCCTAAGCCACAAAAAGAGAATTTACTGGTCATATTACTAAGAAGTCCAGGAAAAGGCACTGTTTGATCTGGGGACTCAAACATCATAGAGACAATGGCTCTCTTTCTCAGACCAGCTCTTTCCATAAAAGCAGGTAAGAGTGGCTCTTTGTGCCTGAACTGTAATGATGTTCAACATCTGCTTTCCTTCTTGGTCTCTAGAACGTGCCTACATAACCAGCCCTAAATAAAAGCCCTGGGCACTGAGTCTCTACTGAGTTTTCCTGGTCGATATTTTACAAGTTTTGTCAAAACTTGTCGCTGGGGAAATCAAGCATGTCCTGTACTACTCAACTAGGCAAGGACTCTCAGAAGCTCCCTCGGGACTTTGCTCCATGTTTTTTTTCCCTTTGCTGATTTTGATTTGTGACCTTCTATTATAACAAATCCTAACCATGAATACAAGTATATGCTGAGTTCTGTGAATCCTCCAAACCTGGGGTTGGTCTTGGAGACCTCTGACACATCTTCTCAAACAGAATGAATGGCATGAGCTACTAATGTCATTCAAACAATTTATTTGGTATTTTCAGTTTTCCTCACTTGGTCAGTTAAGATAGTTTCTAATGTCCCAATCAACTAAAAAACAGAACTGAGATATCTACAAGTCTGAATATAAATACATTTTATAATAATATATTATTCTGAATAAATGATAACTCTTCACATCCTGAACATAAAGCTGTCTCAGAGTATTATATAATTTTTTTTCATGAATATCTGGGTAAAAATAAGTGTAAATTTCCTCTTACTCTTCCTTGTACTTCAATTGTACCTCTAGAACTATAGGTAAATGGCAATCTAAAAACAACTTTAAAAATTCAGAATCAGTTATTTATCCAGAATACCTCTAAGTTCTTGATAAAGCTTAGAAAGCTCTACAAACAAGTTTTAATCTTAAAATGTTTTACAGCCTCTCAATCTGTGGAAAAACTACTGGTAGTCTGGTAGAATAGTCCACATAGAATAATGGGGATCTGAGCTAAGATGTTGGTAATAGAAATGGAGGGAGGGGATGGATGGAAGAGAAAGTCCAGTGGCTGAATGTATAGGATTCGTTTTTCAGTCATGCTGACTAAAAGAAAAGCAGTAGTCATAAATAGTTAAAGGAGAGAAAAGAGGAGGAGACATCGTTTAGAAGAGGAGAGGAAATATAATGAATTTATACTTGAACATGTTAAATTTGAGAGCCAATTAGGGAGGAAATATTCAATAGAAAATTAGACATACATGTCAGGAATTTCAAAGACAGACTGCAGCTGTGGATATAAATATAATAATTACATGCAGAAAGATGATGACTGAAACTATAGCAGTGATAAGATTTCCAATGGATAGAATAGAAGAAAAAGGGCATCTAGATATATTTGGAGACTGGGACAAGGAAGAAGAGGTAAAGACAGAGGAGTAGTTAGAGAATACATTAAAAAACATTGAAGTGTCATGGACTGGAAGAGTTTCAAGAAAGAAGGTACGGATAACAGTCTTAAAGACTATAGAGTAGTGAAGGATAAAAATACTTTTGGAGATGATTATAAGAAAGGCATGACCCCAACTACTGTGGGATACAGCAAAAGCAGTTTTAAGAGGAAAGGATATAGCAATCCAGGCTATATACTTAAAGAAGGAAGAACAATCCCAAATGAATGGTCTAATGTCACCATTATCGAAATTAGAAAAAGAAGAACAAATGAGGCCTAAGGTCAGCAGAAGGAGGGACATCATAAAGATCAGAGAAGAAATAAATAAAATTGAGAACAATAAAACAATAGCAAAAATCAATGAAACCAAGAGCTGGTTCTTCGAGAAAATAATCAGAATAGATAAGCCTCTAGCCAGACTTATTAAGAGGAAAAGAGAGTCGACACAAATCAACAGAATCAGAAACGAGAAAGGAAAAATCATGACAGACCCACAGAAATACAAAGAATTATTAG